ATTCCAGAAAAGAGAATTGCTGATTAAATGGCTATTTGTTGAGGCCAGACCTACCATAGGTCTTAAATGTTTTCCAAAATATATGGAAATCATACAGCTGAGTTTCATTTATTATCCCAGGTCAAGCATTAGTACCTCTAATCTAGACCTAAGAGCTAATTAAAATGGAGGAGAAAATACAGTTCTGTTGTTTGTTTATTACCTCCTTATTATAAAAGTATACATGGTATTCATTTGTTTTAGAAAATATGGAGGAAATAGTGTGTGAGAAGAAAATAAAAGCATCTTGTAATCCATCTGGTATTAAATGCAGTAATTTGATTTTCTTGATCAGAATTGGATGTATACTGTTAGGTCATTTACTCGTTCATCCATTTAAGAAATATTTGAGTGCCCATCATGTACAGGAAAGAAGGGAGGGCTTTGGGAATGGATGTCCTAAGAGCTGGTTGAAGCAGCAAAGAGGTGCCTGGTGTTAGGGAAAAACTTGTTCTTTAAGAAGGTTAAGACAATATAAAAGTGTCTTCTGTCTTTGGAGCTGACATGCAGAGAAGTGTTTACATTGAGTAGGCCCTGCAGCAAAAGAAGGGATGGGGGAGTAGGGTAGAGCAGCAAAGAAGCACTTCAGTGGTGAGGCATGGAAGGATGGCTTGGAGCAGAGAAGAGCATTCTGGGGGTAGGGGAGGCAGCTGTTTGGATTATATCCTTTAACATTATGAGAGAGACATTCATGGCAGTTTACTTAGTATTATGTTTCATTTAATGTTATTTTCCCATTCATTAAATAGTCTTTAAAACAGTTAATGAATTTATAACATTCCATTGTATAAATGAGCTATGATTTATTTTACTAATCCCCTGTGGTTGGACCTTGTCGTTTTAAATTTTTTCTTTGTATAAATACTACTGATAAAGATTCTTTTCAATCCCCGGTTATTTCACTGTGAGATTGACACCAGACAGTATAATTACTAGATCAGGGAATTTAACTTTTAGAGAATATTGATATGTATTGCCGATTAGCTCCTTTTAAGCAATGTACAAAAGGGTCAACACCCTTACCTGCACTGGGTATTATAGTTTTATTTTTACCATTTTAATAGGTGGAAAGTAGTATATCATTGTTTTAACATAAATTTCTTTGATATTAATGAAGTGAATGTATTTTTCATGTTTCTCTTTTCATGTTCTAAGACTTTAAAACTTTTTTCTTTCTAATTTATAAGACTTTTTATATATTAAGAATATTAATCTTTTGTTTGTCTCTTATTTTTTACATGTAATTTAACCCTCAGCTTTGTGTTGGTGGTGTTTTTGATGCCCAGAGGTATTCTTTGTGTGTGATTTATATTATTTTTAAAATGCTTTGAAAGCCCTTTCTCTTGCTCAGGAGAACTCAGTTTTTTCCCAAGCTCTATTAATTTTTCCAACACTATTTGGACAATCATTTTTTTTCTATACTGATTTGTGATGCTACCTTTATTATGTATTAAATTTCTATGAATATTTGAGTCAGTTTTAGGACATTTTTATTTTGAGCTTTTGTACTCTTAATTGTCATTTGCTTGTCATTTGTTTTATAAAAAGAGAAATTTCCTCTTTTCCTTATCCTTTAAGTCCTGGGAAGTTTAAATTCTAAATCTTACATGGCATTTTTATTCTAGGAAAGAGATATGTGTTGCACATAGGGTAGAGAGCAAAGAGGATGTTGGTAGTTTACTTAAACCAAAGCTATGAAGGTGGGTCACCTTGGGGTCACACATCCCTATATGTGGCTCTAACCATTGCAAGTTATGAAAATGCATCTAATTCATCTAGAGTTTCATTATTAGATATAATAGCTTCTAGCACATTTGGCAATTAAAATTTATTAAAATGAAATAATTCAGTTTCTCGTTCAAATGGGCCACATTTCAAGTGCTCAGTGGCCACATGGTTACCATATTGGACAGCACAGATAACAGAGGTTTATTTCCACCATGCAGTAGGTTCTGTTGGGCAGTGCTGACCTAAAGCAGTCAGATTAAGGGAAACCGACTCATGGGTCAGCAGAACAGGGCACACATTAATTGGTCACATTCCCTTCTCTGTAGGATGGTCTACGGAGAGAAGAACACTAACATTGCATATTATGTGTCAACTTTATTCTAACTTTTTTCCTTTTTTTTTCTTTTTGGCAGCTGGTAGGCATGGGAAACCAAACCGTTGACCTTGGTGTTACAATGCCATGCTCTAACCAAGTGAGCTAACCAGCCAGCCCTTATGTTAAATTTTTTTAAACGCCTTATATAGTTTACAAACATATCCTTTGAGGGAGATGAAAGAAGAGGTTCTCTAATGGCCCAAAAGATTGTCATAAGGTTGCCTGGTAGGTGAGGAATCCCAGCTTCCAGCTTTTCTGATACATAAATGTTAACATGTGATTATCTCACCTTGAGCTGGTTTGGTTCTAGAGTTCAGGCAGTGCGGGGAAAGGCAGTGAAGGCTGGCCGGGTGCCACCTTATGTCCTTAGAGGCAAAAAGGGGCTGTAGAGTACCAGACTTTGAGCATTGAAAGCTAGGAGCCCTGGTCCCTGTACTCTCACAGCACAGAATATTTAGGGTTACTGACTGAGAGTCATAGCCTGTACTAATAGGTGTCCATACAGTTTAACAGTTTGTTTTGATCATCTAGCCTGGTTTCTAATGAATTAACTTTAAAGATGTTCATTAACTCAAGGTGGAGAGTCATTGGGCTGCTGAGTTGTCTTATCCATTTACGGATTAGTTACAGTACAATTCCAGCTTGAATTGTAGAGAAAACAGTGAAGATGTGGTTGGAGCCTCAATTGCTTTAGAAGTTTTGACAGTCGGGCTTTATATATACCACCTGATAGACTCAGGTCATTTAATATTCTAACAGGAATTCGAGGATTTGAAGCTGAAGCATACCCAGTGTGGTTGGGTAGGGATTCCACTTGGCAATTCAGATCCAGCCCGTTTTCCAGCCGTAGGATCCCCCGGGTAGGAACTACCAAAACCAGCACCCGCGATTGTTTCAGATTCCGCACGGGGTAGGTGGGGCGTTTTCGCCGCGGCGGCGCGCCCCGCCCC